CAAGGGAGAAAACAATTACCAGTGGGGTTTTTAGCAAGGCAGCCGAATAAAAGTTATATCTTGACCTACAATTCACTTACACCCCTAAATCTGTAGTTATTTCTTTTTGAATGTACCAGCAGTGCTTGCAAATGGAATTTGTAACAGTAAAATCACCTGCAGTCAAGTCCCTGTAGCCACTTTTTTTTTATTTTCAGGTGCAGCAGAACCATTTCACTTGGCTCTAAACCTTGTGCAGTTTTAAATTCCCTGTGGGGCTTGAAAATGCCTGTCAAATAAAGAAATAAACCAAAGGCCAGGATGGGTTGGGTGGTCCAGGGACACCGTGGGGTATTTTAGGATGTTATTCTGTCCCAAAAAAATATTTATCTCTCCAACAGGTCCCGGTCCTTCCTATCTTGGAGGCCCCAGAGGTGGATATTCCGTGTGTTGGATGCACATTTTGGAGCCATCTGGGACAGATGCAAGATCTTGATGAGGAAAAATCCATAGTTGTCCCCTGAGAGTCAGGCCCTTCATTCTTCATGGAATCATCTTTATTTAACCACTGAAATAAAATAATTTCATTTTCAGGTGAGGGAAATTCCGGTATAAGTCAAAAAATCAGGTTCAGCAGTGAAAAAATGTTTCACATGGTTATCATTTCTCAATAAAAATTATTTTGGACCAGTCTTGTTTGCTCTTCTTACTAAAAAAGAGAGGGAATTTTTAATTGTTCTTGACACTGGGTTGGTTTCCACCAAAATAAATGTATTTTTCATGGGATGATGCTGCTGATGTTCAGCAGTGTAAGGTCAGAGTCAACTGGAGTAAGACATAAATCCTATGACAGTTGGGACTGGCTGGGTGGAAGCACCAAGAGCAGAAGAACCCTCATCTCCTCGAATCAAAAATAATAGAAATAATAATAATAATTTTAAAAAATCCATAAAAATGGTAACATCAGAGAAAAACTGGAGGGGAGACCATGGGATTGATGTGGGGTGAACTTGTAGAACTTCACCCAGTAGACAGACTTGGTGGGTGAGGTAAGGGGATCCTCAGAGACAGAACGTGGCCCCAGGTGATCCCAATGATGCCACACTGAACTCAGGACACCCCAGTGACTCCAAAATGACCTATACTAACCCCAAAGTTCTCTCCAGAGATCGAATTTGACCTCACAAAAACCCCAATGGCCTAGAGTAACCCCAAAATGAACTCGAGTGACCCCAAAATGAACTCAGTGACCCCAAAACGAACTCAGTGACCCCAAAATGAACTCGAGTGACCCCAAAATGCCCGATTTTTGACCTAAAGTAACCCCCAAATTTTCTGCACAGAGTAAGTTTGACCTACAGTAACCCCAATGACCCAGAGTAACCCCAAAATGAACTCAGTGACCCCAAAATGAACTCGAGTGACCCCA